AGCCTGCAGACCTCAAGGCTGAACTGCCAATGAACTCCAGAAACATTGTTAACGATGTGGCATTGCCAATGATGTAACTGCAAAACCAATTAAAACTAGCTAACAAAGATACAAAACTAGCTAATTAGGGTACAAAGTAGAATGCAGGAGACAAGATGGGATACACCTGGGTTGTGGCTGACCTTAGAGAAGATAAGGGACTGTGAGAAACAAGGACATGGCAACTAGCCTGGGGTGGAGGCCAGGACCTGTCAGAAGGAGAGAGACCACTGACTCAGTAAAAAAAGATTGAAGGAGACTTTCACTGGCAGGCAGGAAAATAGAACTGTAAAGGGTATAATTACCCCAGAATTCCTTTGTTCGGCCTCCCTCTATAGAAGCACCCAGCTCGAGCTGTTACTATGCTGTACCATCATTTAAATAAATAATTAATTTTGCTCTTCTATGTGCATGAGACTCCGCCCCTCGGAAACCTGGGGTCGAACTGTTTCTATAACAGGGGCACACCAAAGGACGACAGTGTAAAGTACATCTATTTTCATGTATGGGTTCTTCCAGCAGCAATAACATGAATTAAGCTTCCTTTCTAAAGGTTTTTAGTCTTATATCCTTAAATAGTCTTCCTAATCCACCGCAATAACTCCAGTTTGCCTGTCATGTTCTTCGTGACCTTTACTTCCTCACCACAGGCATCTTTCTTTCTTTCTCTTATGTTCTGCAAACCCTCTTCCTCTGTAGTAACCTTATCTCCTTGACGTGTCCTTATGACTGAGAGTCATGCCATTTTGCATTCTTGTTCTGAATTACTCCTATGTTGGCCAGTTAATGGCTTGCCAAACAAAATCACTTTTGTTAATGGGTGTAGTGATTAGAATTTCTGTCTAATTACTCATTAGCATGTATCCTGTAATTATCACGAGAACTTTCTCTTCTTGTTGAATTGTATTTACATAGTGTAACAGGTTAAAAAAAATTATAGATGAACAGACAGTACAGTTGCATACACATCATTTCATTATGAAATTGGGCCTTTAAATGCATGGTCCTACAGAGATGTGGCAGTGGTATTGCTGCAGGTTTATATATGATAGCTTAGTTTTCAGTGTATTTGATCAGGAACTGAGAAATTGAGGTTCGTTGTCCTCGTCAGCATGAGAAAATACAAATGGATATCTTCAGCTTTTCTTTAATAGGCACTAGGCAGCAGGCTTGTGTTGAGGGACCCTCCTCTCTTTCATGAACCTGTGCTACAGTATGCAGGGCAGGCTCCAGAGAGTGAGGAGACAAGACGAAGCATAACAGTGTAGCGTAGCGAAAATGACACACACCCAGGAGAGGAGAGCTTTGCTTTCCAGACCCTGCTCTCAAAACTGCTTGTGACATTTTAATGCAGGGTGTTACTAGACCCTAGTGCTTCCCCTGAAGTCTTCCTGAGGCAATGAGCAAAAGTTATTTTGGCTGTAGTAACTTCACCTCACTCTGATAAGTAGTCTTTAGCTACCTTATACCAAGCCTGACAAGGCAAGTATCCTAAGGTGATAATAATGGATTTACACTTCAAACAGTGATTTCCTACTTGACAATTTTCTTTTGATATGTAAGATCACCTAATGAAAGTGGATTACTGATAATTGCCAAAAAATTACTGAAATTTGATGGTTCCCACATGCTTTCATTTCCATACAAACTTTTAAGGAATGTAGCAAAATGCATTGATTGAATATCAACATTTTAATAATCAGGTATTAATATATCTGAGTTTTCTTCCCGTCTGCTGGCAAAGTATTGATTTTGCAGGGTTTCATGCAACATGGAAAGTCTACACGTTTTCACATTAGTTCTGTATAATTGTAAAAAGAATAACAGGGCTTTGCTTTAATACTCTATACCAAGATAGGATCTCAAGCCTTTGATGAGCCTTTACTTCTATGAGCACAGGATTTAAAAACTGTGTGTTACATAACAAAATTGGGCTTGAATTTGGAGTATAACTCCTAGCATAGCACTAATGAAACACCAGCCATCCCCTTGCAGTTGGTGGGACTAACTGTATATCTGCATAACAGAGATCTCAATAACCTGAAATGATATTCTTGTGTTCCTGAGTCAAATTTGCCGTGTTCCTATATGGGCAATATTTCATTTTATGCCGTTCAATATCCAGTCTTTGGATCTCTATTCACTAAAAAAATGTGTAGTGTTAAGCATATGAATTGTCTTTGTGGAGTCAGTGGGAATGTTTACATATTTAAATTCAAATTTTCAAAGATGTTTGTTGATTTGTGGTCCTGGAAATTTGCAGTTACCTCTAGGGAGACATACATATCACCAGTTGTATCCTGAGTAGAGCATATGTGAAAACCCTTGAGTGCAGTCTAAATGTTGTTTTTCCAGTGAGTATGAAAGTCTGTCGTTTTTTATCCCTTTTAAGAGCAGAAACCGCTACAGACAGATTATTCATGTCTCAACTAGAAATCACAATATTCTAAAACAGCAACATTGTGTGTATGAAATGAATTATGGTTTAGTGAATTTTCTTATCCTTCTCAGACATTTTCAATTATAACTTGTAATTTTTATTTTTTGTATATCAAATAACAAAATAATGTTTAATGTGCTTGTTAATATGTATAAAACAAGGAAAGAAAGATTTTTGTTAAACAGATGGAAAAGGGATACAATATTTTAGTTACATTTTAGATTTTAATAATTTTTAACTCTTTATGAATTTCCCTCAATTTTTCATTCTTGAACTTAAGTACTCTTTTCTGTACATCTATTAACCCATACTCGTTGAAGTAGTATAATCATGTAGAGAGAGTAACAGCCTCTGGTAAATAGAGTGGATAAGACAGAAATCACCTGGATTTAGCTTTTAAAAAGGTGATTTTATACAAATTATATTTCTATAGAAAATATGTCACACAGGATAATAATTTTTGATATTAGTCATATGTACATTTCAGGATTTATTCAGGTATAATAGCATGAGTACTTAGGACAGACCATCTAAACAAACAGCTAGACAAACAAATCTTTCTAAGAAAGATTTGAGGATATTGAAACAATCAGGAAAAAATTTAAAAGGCTGGGAAGCCATAAGAGACAAAAAGATGAGATGAAGTGTTAAAATAAGGTGCAAAGACCTGGCAAATGTTTCACCCTTTCGAAAATTACCTAATAGAGCACGTATTACACATATTACACAGTGACTGTGTAAATCAGTCGCAGATGTCTTGAACAGCTGGAGACAGTAGACATAACAGGTCTTGTTTGTCTGTTTATAATCCTGGAGGGAGGACTAAAGTCATCCTGAGAAAAAGAAAGGAGAGGAAGTGAAGTTAATTGCATCTGAAGAATTTGTTGAACAACCTAGAGAACGGAGAAAGTTAACACAGAGGACAAGAAGACAAAAAAGGGTGAAAAGAGCCTTGAAGGCTAGGAGATTTTGTAAGGGATAGTGTAAAGAACAGGGAGTTAATGAAGATTTTGGCAAGCTGGCTTGTTAGGAAGGAGGGTGAGTGGACTATAGTTTCTTTTTTCCGTGTGTGAGGTAAGAAACAAAAGAAATTTTGGATGTAGTGCTAGGGAAATGTGAAATAGCAGCAAACAGTATTTTGCAAAATTCAAGCAGAAACTCTTGGCTTTGTTGGGAAATCAGTGGCACAGTGCCTTTTAGTGCATCTGTTAGAGTAGGCTTTGGTAATGCTTAGTTTAGGAAGGAAACCTACTTAAAGCAAAGGAAGGGAAAGCTCCTATAGTCTTTTTAATGCTGAGTGCCCCATTTTCTCTTGCCATTTGGGGAAATCAGCTGACTAAATACTAGAGCATTTTCCAGTTATACACCAGTTTTTGTAAGAAATAGAAGATTCCTGGCAATCAAGCACTGATTGCGGGAAACGACCTTGAGGTTTCTCTGATGTATCCAGCCAAATCAAGAATGTGAATGGTGAGGAAAGGAAAGGAGGAGTTTCAGCTGTTTATATTCAGTTCCCAGGAGAAAGAAGTTTTGTAGCCAGCAAAAAGGCCAGGGTTTGCCAATGTAGATGTTAAAAAAATCAGAGGTTTAAAAATAGATTAGATTTAATTATTGAAAGGTATGAAGCCAAAATCAGTCTTGGTATGAGCAAGTGCAGTTGCTATTGAAGTCAATTGAAGCATGCCCACTTGTGCCAGGGCCGAATATGGTCTGTAGTTAAATGCTGGACTACTGTGTTTGTCTGGATTATGTAGTTTGACTTTGTCAAGCTGGTTAATTCCTTGATGTGTTTTATATTTTTACTGTCCTCTGTTCTCATGTAGATGAAAATTTTATTTGTAGTCTTAAGCAAAAAAAGTAATATTAAACTAGAAGTTTAGGCATGGCCAAACAAACGTACTGACACCAGCCTGCTTACATGTGACTGGCCATTTTGTCACTTTCCCTTTATCACTATTTTAACGTGCTTGTTCTTCCCCAAAACACCTTGATCCCACCGTTTTTGAACCTTTAGTTCTTCTAAACATCGCAGAATAAGTCTTGGGGAACCCCCAAATGCTCTTCCCCTACATCCCATAATGCATCCCATACCCTGAGGCAATGACCCCCCAAGCTGGAAGTGCTCTGGGGAGTCTCTCTGTGTGACCCCTGGTGACGGATGTCCCTCCGGCCCATGGGGCTGATGGCTCCCCCTTGCCCCTTCCCGGCAGGGGCCCCATTTCTCTGACTGGGTTGTTGAGGCTCCTATGCCTGCCGTCGTACCTTGTACTCCGTTGGGTGTGCAGAGATGAGCTTCTTCTGGGCTGAGCGCTCTCCCGTACCAGGCCTGGGAGCAGCTGGGGCAGGATATGATTTGGGTTCCTCCACGTGGAGGAGCATTGTTCCTCTGCTCTCCTTTGTGCATGTGGAGATGAGCTTTTTATCACATACCCTTACAAATATATTTATGGCTTATTCCCAAATGGAGTAAATCTTTAGCACCAGAAAAACAGTGATCTGAAACTAATTTCTGTTGTTACAGGGGTCAGCATTCAGCGCTCAGCAACCTCAAGCTTACAATCTTTTCATGACCACAGCTGTAGGTGATGGCATCAAACTGTGGGATTTAAGAACACTGAGGTGAGGCCAAGTTAGGTGCCTTAGAGTAAAAAGGCTGGCTTTATCTTTATTCAGATTTGTCATACTTGCTGTGATATACCAGAAGGAATTTGGATGTGGAATCAGACCTACAATTAGGCTTTTAAAAAAGAAAATTAAAGGCTAATTTGAATTTATTAATTTTAAGAGACCAAACAAAACATTGAGTAGATTTTTACTTTTAGTTCCCAGTTATAGTTATTTATGGGGAAAGCATTAAACAGTCAAAACTTGTCAGCCATGTCTTACCAACTATATACATAGAATTAATTTTATCTGT